CAGATTCTCCAGCACCTGCAGTTCCTGCTATCTCTGGTCAGCAGTAAGCTAGTTTTTAATTCTAGAGTTTCATTGAATTAAAATTTCACAATCTGGGATTCGAACCCCTATACCTAGAACAATAGTTTGGGGTTCTGGATATCTAGTTCAGTGACATCACCTTAAACAAAAGATAAGAAGCAGCTGGTCCTTTTTAATTTGAATTAATAAAGGCCTAGTGCTTCTGCATTGCAATAGAAATATTAAATAGGAAGGATGATAATATTGCAGATCAAAATAATCTGTGCTCTACGTGACTTCGCTATAGCTTTGTGAAGCATAAATATTTGATTCAAATAGGCCTCTTGCCTTTCAATTTTAAATCTATGGCACTGACTCACTACAACAATTTCCTGGTTATTTTTTAAGTTCTGCCTTGAAATAAATTAAAATTGCTGGTCACTTCTCTATTTAGTTTTATGAAATCCAGTGTTACTTATTTATTTACTTGATGCTTTATAAATTTAATTCTGTGATATCTGTGGCTTTATTATTTCGCAGTTGCTTATGTAGCTGTGTGGGTGTTCATCAGTATTGTATCCCTTTCTCATCCTCAATGTGTGCCTCAAATTTCCAAATTAGGTTTTTAAAAAAAAAACTATAGAACATTTGAAATTTAAACCTTCCACTTTATTACTTTTCAAATCATCACAACTGTGCAGTCTGCTGTATATTGTCATCACATTCTTTGGGAATGTTGACACATAGCTTTAATTATTATTCAAGTGTTGGCTGTCCTTATTCCCTGTTGAAGTGTCACGATCAATTTAGTATTGTAGGTACTGAACACTTGGGTATATTATGATAGAGCCAAAGAAACTTCAAAGCATGCAGGAGGAAGTGATTCAGCCTATTTTGCATAGAGCACATTAAGGAGTATAACAGCTAGACAACATAGCCCAAGAGCATAACATTTTTACACAGCTCAGATCCAGAAATTCTAATGAAAGTTAAATACCATTCCACATCAATCAGCCATTTTGCTAGAACTATTCAAGGTCCAAAATAAGTTGTTAATAGGAAAGGGCAATTGTGATATGTAGATATTTTTAATCAAACTGTTCAGAGATGTGATGACAACCCTCCGGATTAGATGGTAATTGAACATAGCCCCCCAACCCGGTCAACCCTTCTGTTGTGAATTCTATCCTAACATGCATGCATCCATGTATATACCCTGTAGCGAAATTGCTGATAACCTAGAACATAGGTGAGTCAGTCTCTCAAAACAGTTCTATATCATTCAATTATATTGTAACTTCATTAGTCTGCCATAATTGCATATCACTGCCACAATTCCACATATCCCTCATCGACCTTGCATATGGAAAATCTATTAAACTCTGTTTTGAAATGGTGGTGTAGGGGAATGAGGAGTCAGGGTGAGGGATAGTGGAGAGATTTCCAGCTTTCCACAACTCTGAAGAAGTATTTCCTGACATCACCCCTAAATGGCCCAGCCTCTCTCTGATTCTATCAGAGGAAATAATTTCTCTTTATCTACCCAATCACTTCCTGTAACTGACTTCAGCACTTCACACTAGATCTCCCATACTTCAAAAACACATGCATAATGGAATGTTTAAAATGGAAGCCAAGAAGGAAGGTGAAATCAGCAAAATTGCCCATTTGTCTGGCAACAGCATCGGGTAGTTAACCAGCAAAGTACTGAAGCATCGAGACACCGGAGAATCATTTTACCACCCAATTACAAATGGACAGAAGTAGAAGACTCTTGAATATCAAACTTTAGAGTTGTCCTTGACTTGATTTAAACAGCATAAAAACAGCAACTTTTTTCTTGAACTATTCTACAAAGTTTCAAACCATGCCTAACTATTGGAAAATTATCAGGAAATGTAAAGAGGCCAAGGTCAGTTTGACATACAAAAGTCATCCCATTAAGTACCCACCATTGCTATCCATATACTGATGTAGTGCTGCAGTGAAGATAAAAGCTCAGATTGTTAAATAAACTTGCAACAGTGGCTAATAAATTTGGCAAAATAAATTACCAAGCTTTTATATTGGCCACCTGTTGGTCTGGTGACAGGAAATGCTGCCTCGTATAAAGATAATAGGCCTGTGATGGCTCCAAGATAAATCAATGATAAGTAACACGGTAATTAGAAAAGCTACTGTGTAAAGGAAACATGAATAAACTATAACGTGATCTTTGTCAATGATTTGAACAGAATTAAAATGTGTGTTAAAACAATGATGCCCCATATAATCAGTGTGTTGTCCTCGCTGAAGTGTAGGGTAATGTCTTCATTAGTATTGCAGGTCAGCTATGCGTAGTTTGTTTACTTCAATAACATTCTCAGGGAGTTTATTCTGTACCCCAAATATTCTTCACAAAGGAAATCCTTTAGATGTTTTTTACTTTAACATCCCTAGATTTTCATGTCTCCAGATATTTGTACCTTTATGGCAGGATTCCTGCTTTCTAATGAGGAGCCAGATGAAAGCTGGCTGGGATGGTGCAACTGGCTGCCATCATGAGTTCCAAACTCTTGTGACGAGTTATTTAGCCCTCTAGTCGACAAGGCTCTTTTATATTTGTCACAGAGGTTTTGGTGTGCACAGATATGCTCATTTATCAGATTAGCATAACCCTCTCTCATGGTTGATTGTATTTTATTCCCAAGGCTTTCAAATCCCATTTGCAAGCTTTCTTGCACCTTGGAACCCACATCAGATATAACCGCATTCAGGGAATTTTGATGTGATGCTCCTATGTTGCACAGTCCCTGAGTAAAAGAGTTTTCAATCACTGATACTGTCTGAGGTGAAGCCTCCTCCCTGGTAGTCTGCAAAGCAGCCAGTTTTTGATTAAGCAAATTTTGGACATCAGACAAGGAGCTATTCAGACTTGACATGGTCATCATCATCCTATCCACAGTTTCATTCATCATTTGCACTGAAGTTAGCAGACTTTGTAGATAGCACTGTTGCTCCACCACCCTCCTTTTGAAAGCTGGTTCATTGATCTCCAAATTTAGCAGCTCCTCCTTTTGGGATTCAGATCTAGGAGTTATGAGTGGTCTCTTCAAATCACCTTTGGCCAAGGGAGATTGGGTGTCTTCCATAATTTCCATGCCCTCCAGTACCGATGATTCATAAGTAGAGGCAGATTCTGTGGTGGAGCCAATTGGACCAATGATGGCAGTGTTTGTTATCTCTGTAGAGAGGGTGTTCTGGGGACTTAAAGATTTAGTTGGACCTCGCTTTTCTGTGGAGAGAACACAAGTGAAAGTAAAGTGTGTTGGAAACTATTGGGTGAGTAGCCATAATGCTGCACCAAGTACCATGAGCCAAATAAACGTTTAATAATTTGTCAAAAAAGCATCAGACCTGAGGATAAATGGATCAGCTACTAACACCTTTGTTGTAGGGCCCATGTAGAATTCAGTGAGATACATCAAATGTTAAATTAGGTCGTTCAAGTACTTAGCCAAATAGCTGAACATGTTGAGAACTTGGCTTGTCTTGAAGAGGGGTCTTCTGGTGCAGTGGTAATAAAAACATTGGAGCCTGAGTTTAAGTTCCAACTATTTCAGAAGTAGTCATAACATCTCTGGAGAAGTTGATGAAGAAATATCTGCAAGTGCAGCTAGCACCAGAAGCTGTTCCAATTGATTTGAGGTTTCCTGATCATGAAGTAGAAATTACACCAGAATAGCACAAAGCATGACTTCTTTCTTCTCCATTGATGAAAAGGCCACTAATTACATCAAGTTGCTATGACCTGCATATGAACTAAGAAACCTTCAGCTAGAACCATAGAACATAGGAAAATACGGATAGGAACAGACCCTTTGGCTCACCATGTTCATGCCGACCATAATGCCATTCTAAACTAATCTCATCTGCCTGCACACAGATCATATCACTACATTCCCTGCCTGTTCCTGTGTCTGTCCCAATGCCTCTTAAACATTACTATTGCATCTGCTTCTATTACCTCCTGTGGCAGCACGTTCCAGGCACCTACCACCCTCTGCATAAAAAACTTGTCTTGCACATCTCCTTTAAACTTTCTCCTTTTCACCTTAAAGCTATGTCCCATAGTATTTGACATTTCTACTCTAGGAAAAAAGACTCCGACTATCCACTCCTTATAATCTTATATACTTCTATCAGGTCGCACGTCAGCCTCTGATGTTCAAAAGAAAACAATCCAAGTTTGTCTAACCTCTCCTTAAAGCTAATACACTCCAAACCAGGCAACACCCTCTTAAATCTTTTGCACCCTCTCCAAAGCATCCACATTCTTCCTATAATGTGGTGACCAGAACTGCACACAATACTCCAAATGTGGCTGAAGTAAAGTTCTGTACAGCTGCAACATGACTTGCCAATTTTTATATTCTGTGCCTACTGATGGGCCGAAGAGTAGCAGATGGAGTTTAATTTAGATAAACGTGAGGTGCTGCATTTTGATACGGCAAATCACATCAAGACTTATACACATAATGGTAAGGTCTTTGGGAGTGTTGCTGAACAAAAAGACCTTGGAGTGCAGATTCATTGCTCCTTGAAAGTAGAGTCACAGGTAGACAGGATAGTGAGGAAGGCATTTGGCATCCGTGCCTTTATTGGTCAGTGCACTGAGTATAGGAGTTGGGAGGTCATGTTGTGGCTGTACAGGACATTGCTTAGGCCATGTTTGGAATACTGAGTTCAATTCTGGTCTCCCTGCTATAGGAAGGATGTTGTGAAACTTGAAAGGGTTTAGAAAAGATTTACAAGGATATTGCCAGGGTTGGAGGGTTTGAGCTATAGGGAGAGGCTGAATAGACTGGAGCATCAGACGTTGAGGGATGACCTTAAAGAAGTTTATAAAATCATAAGGGATGTGGATAGGGTGAATAGCCAAGGTCTTTTCCCCAGGGTAGCGGAGTCCAAAACTAGAGGGCAGAGGTTTAAGATGAGAGGGGAATAGATTTAAAAGAGACCTGTGGGGCAACTTTTTCACACAGAGGGTGGTGCATGTAATGGAATGAGCTGCCAGAGCATGTGGTGGAGGCTGGTTCAATTACAACATGTAAAAGGCATAAGGACAGGAATACAAAGGGTTTAGAGCGATTTGGGCCAAATGCTGGCAAATGGGACTAGATTAATTAGGATATCTGACTGGCATGGACAAGTTGGACCAAAGGGTCTGTTTCCATGCTGTGCAGCTCTATGACTCAATGACCGATGAAGGAAAGCATGCCAACATTCTCTTGACCACCTGATCCACTCATGTTGCCACTTTCAAGGAGCTACGGACTTGCACCCCAAGATCCCTCTGTATATAAATGCTCCAAAGGATCCTGCCACTAACTGTACATTTGCATTTGGTCTCCCAAAATGCATTGCCTCATATTTGTCTGGATTAAATTCCATCTGCCATTTCTCCACCCAACTTTCGAACTCATCTATATCCTGCTGTATCCTTTGACAACCTTCCACACTATCTATAACTCTGCCAATTTTCATGTGACTGCAAACTTACTAATTCGACAATGTACATTTTCATCCAGTTTATTTACATATATCACAAACAACAGAGGTCCCCCAGCACTGATCATTACGGAATACCACCCAGTCTGAAAAACACCCCTCCAATCTACCCTCTGTCTTCTATAACCAAGCTAATTTTGTATCCAACTTACTAACTCACTGTGAATGCCATGTGACTTAATCTTCTGGACCAGTCTACCATGAGGGACTTTGTCAAATGCTTTAGTAAAGTCCATGTATACAACATCCATTTCCCTGCCCTCAATCATCATCTTTGTTACTTCCTCTAAAAACTTAATCTAACTTGTTAAACAAGACCTCCCATGCACAAAGCCATGCTGACTATCCCAAATAAGTCTATTCTTTTTCATGAGTAAATCCTGTCCCTTAGAACCTTCTCCAATAATTTTCCTACCATCAATGCTCACTGGCCAATTATTTCTTGGATTATCCCTATCGCCCTTCTTAAACAAAGCAACAACATCAGCTATTCTTCAGTCTTCTAGGACTTTGCTTGTGGCTACAGGATATAAAGATCTCTGTCAAGGCCCCAACAATCTGCTCCTTTGCTTCCCTCAGTACCCTAAGATACATCCCACCAGGCTCTGGGCTTTTATCTACCTTAATGTTTTTCAAAACACCCAGAACCTCCTCCTTCCTAATGTTGCCAGTAAATCAACGTACCACTCCCTAATCTTACTATTTTTAATGTCCTTCTCCTTGATGAATCCCAATGGGAAGTACTCATTAAGGACCATACCCCTTCCTCTGGCTCCATGTATAAATTCCCACCTTTTCCTCAAGAGCACCTAACTTCTTTTCCCTAGCCTCTCTTTTGCTCCTAATATACGTGTAAAATGTCTTGATTAATCCTACTTGCCAAGGATATTTCAAGACCCCTTTCAGCCCTCCTAATTCCTTATTTAAGTTCTTTACTGTTTCCTTTAAGTTCCGGAAGGGCCTTATCTGCTTTCAGTTCCCTAAACTTTACAAATGCCTCCACTTTCTCTTTAACTAAACTTTCAATAACTTGCCATCCTCATCTTTCATCTTCACAGGACCATGCTGAACTCTGATCATTAAGTCTTTAAAAGACTCCAACATGTCAGACGTGGATTTACCCTCAAACAGCCACCCCAAAACTAATTTCTCCAGTTCCTGCCCAATACTGTTGTAATTAGACTTTCCCTGATTTAGCACTTTCACTTGAGGACCAGTCTTATCCTTAACTACCTTAAAAACCTATGGAATTATGATCACTGTTCCCAAAATTCTCCCCAACTGAAACTGTGAACACCTGGCCAGGCTCATTCCCCAACACAGGCTCCTTCCCTAGTCAGAACATCTACATATTACTTCAAGAAACTTTCCTGGATTCACCTAACAAATTATGCTCCATCTAAGACCCTAGCACTAAGAGAGTCCCAGTCAATCCTGGGGAAGTTAAAATCATCCACTACAATAACACTGTTGTCTTTACACCTTTCCATGCTCTGGTTACAAATTTGTTCCTTTATCTCCCACTGGCTATTGGGAGGCCTACAGTATAACCCCATCATAGTGATTGCACCTTTTCTTATTCCTGAGTTCTACCCATATGACCTCACTGGATGAGCCCTTCATGATGTCCTCGCTTACTACAGATCTGACATTCTTCTTAATCAGTAATGCAACTCCCTCATCCCTTTTACATCCCACTCTATCATGCCTGAAACATCTAAACACTGGAATGTTGAGCTGCCAGTCCAGTCCTTCTCTGAACCAAGTTTCTATAATGGCTACAGCATTGTAATTCCATGTACTAATCCAGGCTCTCAGCTCATCCGCCTTACCTGTTACATTCCTTGCATTGACATAAATATACTTCAGACCACCAATCCCGTTGTGTTTATTAGCCTGGTCCTGCCTGTTCTTCCTATTGGATTTACTTAAACTCTACCTTCTCCTGAATCACTCCATATTGTTGACCTACTGCTCTGGTTCCCACACCCAATCACATGAGTTTAAACACTCCCAAGTGGCACTAACAAACCTCCCTACCTGGATATTGGTGTCCCTCCAGTTTTGGTGCAACCCATCCTTCTTGTACAGGTCCCTCGTGCCCTGAAGAGATCCTAATGATCCAGATATCTGAAGCCCTCCCTCCTACACCAGGTTTTTAGCCACACATTCAACTAGCACATGGCATAGGGAGTAATCCCATGATTACAACCCTACTAGTCCTGCTTTTCAACTTTCTACCTAACTCCCTAAATTCCCTTTGCAGGACATCATCTCACTTCCTGTCTATGTCATTAGTCCCAATCTGGACCACAAACTCTGGCTGTTCACCCTCCCTTTCAGAATGTTCTGTGCACGCTCAGAGACATCTTCAACCCTGGTGCCAGGGAGGCAACACACCATCCTGGAATCTTGCTCGTGGCCACAGAAACACCCATCTGTGTCCCTTACTATAGAGTCCCCTATCGCTATCTATACTTTGACCCTCCTTGCTGTACAACAGAGCTAATCATGTGCCACTGACCACTGGTGTTGTTTTCCTCTTCTTTCCCCTGAGAAGCCAGACTCCCTACATTATCCAAAGCAGTGAATTTGTTTGACAGGGAAAAAGCCACAGGGGACTCCTGTACTGCTTGCCTGCTTCTCCTGGTGGTCACCCATCTATCTGGCTGTGACCACATCCCTGAAACTCCTTTCTATAAAACATTCTGCCTCCTGTGTGCTCCTCAGTGAGTTCATCTGCTGCTCCAACTGATCCATGTGGTGCTGCACGTGTAAACACTTCCTGCAGACATGTCTGGAACATTTGATTTGTCCCACATTTCCCACATCTCCCACATCTCACAGGAGGAGCACACCACTCCACTAACTACCATTACTACCTTCTAGTAACTACTGGATTGAAAGAAAAGGAGACATCTTACCTTACCATGCCATAATGCTGTTCACCCTCCTCACCAAAGCCTAACCTCAATAGCAGCACTTTGATGTCACAACTGACGTCAATACTGAGGCTCTATTTATAGTCCACTACCAAAACTTTTTGACAGCCTCTCTGTCTCTCTCTCATTTTCCTTATTTCAAGGAGGGAGGGAGGGAAACACTACAGTAATGTAATGTTTGGGGCTTCATCATTCTTTGACACCTGGAAGAACATTTCCAGTTGAATCATAGTAACATATATTAGAAAAAGGGATGAGGTCCTAAAAAGCACAATAAAGGGAGTCAGGTAGCGAGTTTAAAAAGGTAGGACCTGAAAAGGTAGTTATCTCAGGATTACTAACAGCGCCACAGCTGGTCAGAGTAGAAACAGTAGGATATATCAGATGAATACATGGTTGGTGAGAAGTGGCATGACAAGTAGAGTTTCAGATTCCTGAGGCAATGGGACTTTTTTTTTTTTTGGGGGGGGGGGAGGGGGGGAGGGGGGTTCTGGTTGCGACCAGTACAAACTGGACAGTTTACAACTGGGCTGGAGTAGAACTGTTGTTGTAGGGGATGTATTTGCAAGTGAGGGCTTTGGTGAGCATTGGGTTTTGCTGAGGAGAGTGAGCAGCATTAAGGTAGAATAAAGTAAGTTCTTTCCCTTTCTTTTAATCTAGTATTTATACTAGAGTATACTCCCTCTCTCAAAAAGGGGTGGCACAGTGGCTTAGTGGTTAGCACTGCTGCCTCACAGTGCCAGGAACCCACATTTGATTCCACCCACGGGCAACTGTCTGTGTGGAGTTTGCATGTTCTCCCTGTGTCTGCGTGGGTTTCCTCTGGGTGCTCCAGTTTCCTCCCACAGTCCAAAGATGTGCAGGTTGGATGGATTGGGTGCGTAAATTAGGAGGATTAGTCATGGGAAATACAGGGTTACAGGGAAAGGGTAGGGGGATGAATCTGGCTGAGATGCTCTTTGGAGGGGCAGTGTGGACTTGTTGGGCCGAATGGCCAGTTTGCACACTATAGGGATTCTATGATGATGATTTATTCGAGGCATAATAATGGTAATTAGTAGAGTGATAAGCATCTCGGGAGGGGGATGGGAACTTTAACATGGAATCAAAAGAGAGGGGAAAGGAAGAGCAAAAATAAAAGACAGAATGGGAAATCAGAAAAGTGATAGGCAGAGAATTGAAGGGCAATAATCAAAAAGGGCCACAGTTCAATGCATTGTGAATAGGAATGTTAAAAAGACAAGTCATGAAGTCTTGTGGCTTAATGCACAGAGTTTTCATGATAAAGTTGGTGAAGTAGTCACATAAATAGATACAAATAGGTATGATATAGTTGGGATTAAAGAGATATGGGCTACAGGGTGACCAAGGATGGGAATTGAACATTCAGGGTATTCAGTTTTTAGTAAGGACAGATAAGAAAGGAAAAGGATGTATGGTAGCACTGCTAATTAAAGAAAAAACTAGAGGAAACTAGGAAACTAATGCAAGAGTGAGGAAGGATACCAGTGAAGTGAAATCAGCACAAGAAGAGCTTAGAAACACCAACAGGCAGAAAATGATTGTGGGGGGTTTTATGTAGACCCCCAACTTGTAGTGGTAATGTTGGGGAAGCATTACACAGGTAATTAGAAAAACAAGCAATAAAAGGTCCAATGTAATGATGGGCCACTTTAATCTGCATATAGATTCAGCAAATTAAATCAGTAATCACAGGAAAGAGGAATTCCTGGTGTGCGGGTCAGTGCAGACTCGATGAGCCAATTGGCCTGCTTCCACACTGTAGGGATTCTATGATGTAAGACATCAAACAGATCATGAATGTGGGTAGGATGAGACTGGACAAGGGGAGAAAAAAAACAGAGTGAAGATTTGGAGAAATAAATGCAACCGGACACAAATAGGCTGACATGATTGGTCTGCCAGTGCAGTCTTGTTTGTAAATTTTGGGAAGAAGGTAGAAGGTATGGGGAAATCATCAGGTGGGAAGTTGTGGAGAGAAGATATCTAAAGGAGATGAGGTCAGTGGCAGTCCTAGAAAAAAATGCCTTGATATTCAGTGATGGGGTCATTTTTCAGGGGGAGAAAAATAGCAGTGTTGGAGAATCAGTGCTTTACTTCTGTGAGGTAGAGGGAAGTATGCCAGATGAAAACACCATCTTTGTCAGCAGGCTGCTTTGAGCATCTGTTTGCCCAATGTCAAACCAAAAAAAACTCTTATTTTAAGCTGTGGAACAATACCTTTTCAGAATTGTTACACCTTTGTAAAGAGTGACCACCACAGTCCTGATGACAGAAAACTGTAGTACTTGTGAATTCTTCCCCTAATTAACCAATTGTTCGAAGCATGGGCTTAAATTGCTAACATAGTTCCCCAGGAAATCATTACATCGGCTTTTAAAATCCCAAAGGACCTAGTTGTGACAAATGTACTTTCATTTTAACTACAGGTGGTTCAACTACTGTCAGTTCTGCTATAACGCATGTCTCTTCAACACGAATTGGCTTTAACGCGATTGAAGAATTTAGACTGCTATTTGTAGAATGCAAACTTTATTTACCTGTATTGGCTATAACACGATTCCAGCCCCATTAGTTTAAATGGCACAGCTGTTGCTCAATTTTCTTATAACATGAGATTGCATGAGAACAGAACTATCACATTATGTCAGAACCGACTATACCTGACACAGACAGCTCTCTGTCTTTGATCCCTCCACAAATGAAAGTATGGGATTGAAGCAAGAACTCGTTTTTTAAAATTCAATCATGAGATGTTGGCTTGCCTGGCTGGGCCCAACATTTATTGCCCACCCCTACTGCTCTTGAGAATGTAGTGATAAGCTGTCTTTTTGATCCACTGTATTCGACTCAGTGCGAAATGCATTAACAGGGGATCTAGACCTGGATCATCCACTGAAAACCAATAATCCCCAAAAAGTGCAGAGATCCTTTTCTGAGGCTGTGCTTAGTGGTCCTGAAATAAATGGACTAAGCCATGGCGTAGAAAAGAAGGCAAGGTCGCCATAGTCTTACCAGACCACAGGGCTGCTCTCTCATTAGCGTGAGACAACTGGTGGTGTTTCAACCTGACGGTCAGCATGCCTCAGGTGAGGGGAGAGGTTAAGAGCTTCACGGTAACCTCAACCATTGGAATTGAACCTATGCTGTCGCATCACTGCATTATAAACCAGCTGCCCAGCCAACTGAGTTACAAACCCCTAACCACAAAGTCATTGGAAGCAATGTAAACGTATCTTGAAAACATCTGAAGAAGGGTCCCAACCCAAAACGTCAACTTTCCTGCTCCTTTGATGCTGCCTGGCCTGCTGTGCTCCTCCAGCTCCACACTGTGTTATCTCAGACAATGCACAACTTTTGTTATTTTTGTTTTTTTTATGGCCTTGTAAAGTGCAACATTGGACTTATACTCTTGATTTAGCCAGCATATAAAGACTGTGACTTACAGAAGTGAACAGATACTCACTGCGAATAGTTCGGACACTTGACGTGATAACACTGTTGGCTGGAGCTTCCTGCCACTGTAAAGCAAAATCAAATTGGAAGCTTTACATTAGCAGAGCAATTCTTTGAATTAATTTCCTAATAGATGGTTATTGTTTGTACATCTCACCACAATGATAGCAGAATGTATTGTGATAAAATTGTTCACTGGTTTTCGGCTATTAGAACTCACCCATTTAAAAATATTGGTACACATCATTTAAATCATTATATTTGTTTAACCCTTTCATTAGACTCTATTGGGGTCTCTATGAATCTCTGTCCCACATTAGACTAGTGTGAGTTGGAGTTAGAGATGTAACATTCTAGAAATGACTATGTGCAAAATTTTAACTCATGTAATATCCATCTACTTAAATTCAGTTCAAACTAAGTCCAGGAGTGAATCTCAATCATGTCTATACCAGTTCCACAGTAATGCTATGCACTGTATAATATATACATATACACATACACACACATATATACACACACACACACACATACATATATATACACACACACACACATACATATATATACACACACACACACACACATATATATACACACACACACACACACACATATATATACACACACACACACACACACATATATATACACACACACACACACACACATATATATATACACACACACACACACACA